TGTGTGTGTGTGAGAGAGAGAGAGAGAGAGAGAGAGAGAGAGAGAGAGAGAGAGAGAGTGTGTGTGTGTGTGTGTGTCTGAGGGCCGCCTGTCGATTTCCTATTATCTCTCCCATAGAGAGGAGACTGACCACTCATCCATCACATACACACACACACACACACACACACTCACTCACTCACTCACTCACTCACTCAAGTGTTCATTTTGACAGCAAATTTTAGTTTTAGAATTTTAAATTTTAGTCATATTATAGTCATCTGAACTGTTTTTAGTTTTAGTCGACTAAATCTACAGTAAATTTAGTCGGCTAAAATCTAATGGGTTTAGTTACAGTGTAATGCATTTAATAAGCATTTCTCTAAAATTTCCAAACTCATTATATAGGTTTGATATTAAGGTTATATCATGATAGACACCGATTTAACTGCGGTGACACACAACATGCCTTTATGTTAAAATTAAATAAACCCACTTCTCATAAAGAACAAGAACATGGTCTTCTTTTTAATGAAATACCAATGGTTATATAGGCTAATTATGCATTCTTTATAGCAACTTGTTTACCGTATTCTTCATTATTTCAAGCAGACATCTTTATTTCTATAAATAAATTTAGATTAATCTTTAGGGCTACTAAAGTTTTTCAGTCAAGAGCAGTGCGTGATTTTCTGTCTTTCTTTTGTTGCTTGATTAACATCAATGATTCGGACAATAGCAACTAAATTAGGCTGCTGTCCCTTTAAAACCGAATGCACAGCTGCAATGGATGCAATGTACTGATACACGTTCTCCCTACTGTTTACGTTCACTTAAGACATAATCAACTGCGTTTATGTGAATACTCGTCAAAACGGACAATTCAACATAATTTTGTGTGTAATTCTCCGTTCATGCGATGCTAAAAAGTACTCATGCGCTGTGAGAGGCGCTTTCTGTGCGTGTGCTTCAGTGTCTGCGCTCAGAAAACCGGACCGAACTGAGTTCTCTCTTGCGTCGTCAGATTTATTCATATGTCTGCTCTTCTCTTACTCCCACATATTGACATTTTTTAACGTTTTATGCGACGTGCAGCAAGTGTATGTTAGCTTATGTCCCGTCGGTTCATATGTACGCATCTAACCTCCGAACCACGCAGCAGATTCGTTCTGAATGAATCTCATCCCAAATCGTCCCTCCCTAACATTTCGTTGACGAAAATGTCAATAGATTTACATCATAGCTTTTGTCATTCAAAAAGAGTTTTAGTTCGTTATCGTCTCGTTGTCGTCAGTGAAAAAAAACACTGACACACACACACACAGGTCGACTCTTTATTAGGCTTTTAATATTTAGTGTCACTATGGTTAGAAATAAAGCCAAAAACACCCATAGAAACACTGAGGGTCAGACGTGATGTGGACTTACGTTGAGTTTGTAGGGCATCGACTCGAAGTAGATGGAGGTGGCTGAGATCCGCTTGACGTCAGACATGTAGCCATGAGTGAGACTGACAGAGACACAGGATTCATTACACGGGCGTGAGAGGCAGAGAGTGAATGAGAGAGAGAGAGAGAGAGAGAGAGAGAGAGAGAAGGTCACTCACTGTCCGCCGTCAGGCAGGTCCAGACCCATGATGCGCTCATGAGGGTTTAGGACGGCTGTGTAAGCGGCGAAGTTAGTCGGAGATCCGGAGTACGGCTGAACATTGACGCCCCACAGTGCCGGGTCGAGGTCAAACGCCTCCAGAGCCCTCTTCTGACACAACAACTCGATCTGATCCACCACCTCCGCCCCGCCGTAATACCTGCACACGCACACACGCACGCACACACACACACACACACACACGCGCACACACATGCACGCACACACGCACAAGCACACACATTCATGCACATGCACGCGCACACACACACACACACATAGATGAAGCACATCAGACACATCAACCTACCAACCATCAGTCTCATGAATAAATGATTAATTATAAATACATACAAATACATAAAAAAAAAAAAAAAAAAAAATTAAGCAGATAAATTTAAAAAAAAAATCATAAAAAAAAAAAAAAAAAAAAAATTAAGCAGATAAATTTAATAAAAAAATAAATAAAAAAAACCTATGAAAAATCAAACAAACAATAAACACAAGTAAATAACGACATTAAAACTAAAATAACTACATAAAACATAAATTAAATAAAAATAAATAAAAAAGATAAATTGAAGAAAATAGTAGTAAAAAATAATAAACTACAAATAAATCAGCAAATCCAATAATTAAGTAAAAAAAAAGAGATACAAATACAAATAAATAATAAATACAAACAAAAGTAAATAAATTAAATGAAACACTAAAAATAAATAAAAAGAGGTAACTTATAAAATGATTACAATACAAATACATAAATAATAAATACTTATAAAAACAAAAAATTAATGACTGTATAAATAAATAATGAAAAAATATAAATAAAATAGATACATTAAAGGTGACCTATTATGCCCCTTTCTACAATATTTAATATAAGTCTCAGGTGTCCCCAGAATGTGTCTGTGAAGTTTCAGCTCAAAATACTCCACAGATCATTTATTATATCATTTTGAAAATGCCTATTTTGAGTGGAAGCAGAAACACGCTGTTTTTCGTGCCTGTCTCTTTAAATGCAAATGAGCTGCTGTTCCTCGCCCCTTTTCCAGAATAGAGCTGCGCCTTTACAGCTCGTACGTCAGAAACTCTGATAAAAACAAACAAACATGTGTTTGATTTTAATTGTCTATCACGCTGAAATTATGCGTTTTAAAGTCGTATCAGTTTAAACTTCTGATAAAGTGTTTTCTGAGCGCACACATGCGAAGCACACGCACAGAAAGCGGCTGACACACGGCATGCGAGTATTAAACTAAACTCTCTTTCATGTCTTATTGCGCTTAAACTGTCAAACACACAAAAGTTTATGTTAAAAACACACACGAGTTACAAAAACAGTGGGTTATGTCTGTGAATGTAAACAGCTGGGAAATAAATCGCATGTTTATGTTAGATCTGTGTGGCAGCAGCTATATACAGTAAATAAATCAATAAATCCACTGCTGT